AAGAGGAGTGGGGGGAGAGGAAAGGAGTTTTCTACTTAAGCATATAGTATGATTCCAAAACTTCACAGAGTAAGAAAACACCCTTACAATATCTCTTCACCTGAGGTGTGCCCCACCTTTCCTTAGATCTGGGCTCTCAGGGTCAACAGGAAATAAACAAGATATCTTGCCCTCAGGAAATTTCAGTAACAAAGCAGTGAAACTCCGCAGCTGCTCCAGTACAGCAGCCCAGCTGTCTGCTCTCCTCCCATTTCCACCAAGGACAGGAGATGGGTGGGAACTGCTCCAAGCAACCAAAGGAATGGAAAATGCAGGATAGTCAGGCATAGAAGATTCAAAAATAAAATGCACAGGAAAGCAATGTTTCCGAGGGAAACTCTCTTTTTGTCTCCTAGATCAAAATATCTAAGAGTCAAAACCAGCTCAGTACATTACAAAATGTATGGCAAAAATTTCAAAACCAGCTCCTCCTAGCTGGGTGTGGTGGCTTATTCTTGTAATCCCAGGACTCCAGAGGCAGCAGGATCACAAGTTAAAGGCCAGCCTCAGCAATTTAGCTAGGCCCTAAGCAACTTAGGAAGACCCTGTTTCAAAATTTTAAAAAAGGGGTGGGGGGAGGGTTGGGGATATCATTCAGTGGTTAAGTGTCCCTGGGTTTAAATAAAAAACAAAAACCTAGGGCCTTGTAAATGCTGAGCAAGTGTTGGATCTCTGAGCTATATCCTTGTATCCTTGGCCTAAATGTGTTTTTCGTTTGTTTATTTGTTTTGCTTTTTTGTTACTGGGGATTGAATCCAGGGGCCCTTTTTCCCTGACCTAGTCCTTTTTATTTTGGACAGGATCTCCCTAGTTGCTGAGGGCTTGCTAAATTGCTTAGAATGGCCTAGAACTTGGAATCTGCCTACCTCATCTGGGGTGAAAAAAGTGAGTTCTTTACCTCACTGTATGTGTGCATCTGTAGACCCAGCTATTTGGGAGGCTGAGGCAGGAGGTCAAGGCCAGCCTAGGCAACATAGGGAGACCCCATCTAAACATAAAATTAAAAAATAAATGTAATGAGAGAGTTTGAGTCCAATTTCTCCTCTTAACTGGAAGACCCCTGCCCTGCTGCCATGACCCCTTCAATTAAACTGCTTTGTTTTGTTTTTCCTCAAGACAGGGGTTTGAACCTAGGTGCATTCTACCTGAGCTATATCTCCACCCTTTTCCAGACAGGATCTTGCTAAATTGTCCATTCTGGCTTTGAACTTGTGATCCTCCGGCCTCAACCTCCCAAGGAGCTGTGATTACAGATGTGTGCCATTGTGCCTGGATGCCTTCTTTAAAAAAAATTGGAGCCAGGCGTGGTGGGGCACACCTGTAATCCCAGCAGCTCAGGATGCTGAGGGCAGTAGGATCACAAATTCAAAGCCAGCCTCAACAATTTAGCATGACCCTAAGCAACTTAGTAAGACCCTGTCTCAATATTAAAAAATAAAAAGGGCTGGGAATGTGGCTCACTGGTTAGGCACCCCAGGGTTCAATCCCTAGTACCAAAAAAGAGAAATATTTAATAATAATAATAATAAAGTGGAGGGCTGGGGATGTGGCTCAAGCGGTAGCGCGCTCGCCTGGCCTGCGGGCAGCCCGGGTTCGATCCTCAGCACCACATACAAACAAAGATGTTGTGTACGCCAAAAACTAAAAATATTAAAAAATTCTCTCTCTCTCTCTCATTCAAAAAAAAAAAAAAAGATTAATAATAAAGTAGAAAATTAACCTAAGGTGAAACCTAACAGTTAAATGTTTTTTTTTCTCCTTGTCTGCTTCCTTGGCTCTCTTTCCCAGCACACCTTGTCCCTTGCTAACTTGAATAAACATACACATGTGACCACATGAGGGCGGGGAAGAATACCAAGTGGGGGTGGTGAAATTCTGAATGGAATGCAGCCTCAGCCAGTTTGGGGGCCCTGGGCTGAGACCTCTGGCACTGGCTATGGATATATACAAGCAAAGAAGCCAAAACAATGAGCTCATGGGCAGGAATGCAGCTTGTGGGGAAGTCTGGGCGGCCAGAGCAAACTGGTTTTTTGAATCAGGGTGGGAAGAGCAATAACCAAGTCTCCCACGGGAACAAAATTAGGGAAAGTAGCAGCTACCATTCAGCATTTTGGGGGTCCAGTTAACTAACTTCCAGGGGCTGTCCCACATCAAAGTTGTTCTGCAGAGATTAGAGTATTCCCAAATCTATACTCAAAAACTTGTTTCCCTCAATTTAGCAGCAGCAACTTAGCAAGACCCTGTCTCAAAATAAATTGTGACTGTACAAATATATAGAAACAAATCTGATCATTACTTACAACTATGAAAAATGTGGAAAAAAAAGATTTAAATTTTAAAAATAAAAAGGACAAGGACTATAGTTCAGTGGTAAAGTACCCCTGAGTTCAATCCCAGGACCAAGGGGGATGGGGGTGGGGAGCAGTTCTGACCTGGCATGGAAGTATGCTTGCCAGGTGGCTGAAGCAGGAGTGGTCACTTGAGCCCAGGTGTTTATGGTCAGCCTGATGAACAGAGCAAACCAAAAAATAATCAAATCTGATTCTAAGAGGTGTTTGATACATCAGCCTAGATGCAGGTTCCCAGCCCAGATCTTTGCACATGCTTCACATAATATGGGCTGGGGAGGTAGCCCAGCAGTAGAGCCCTCCCCTAACATGCCTCAGGCCTGGTACTGGATCCAGAGCACTGAAATAAAACATTGTAACAACTTTGCAACTAAGAGGGACAGAATTAAATTTTCAAATCTTGAAACTAAGGCCTTTGAACAGAGTGTGGGAAAATTCCAAAGGACTAAATGGATTATGCTGTGGATTACATGCCTGCAATTACTGCAACTTTGAGGGCTGAGGCAGGAGGATAGCAAATTTTTTTGAGGCCAGCCTCAGAAATTTAGTGAAACTGTCTTGGGGGGGGGGGGTTAGGAATTGTAGCTCAGTGGTAGCCCTGGGTTAAATCCATGGTATACCCCCCATCCACCCACCCACTTCTGAAGGCATGATACAAACACTAATTTCTAAAATCACTGGATAAATCAAGCAAAAAAAAAAAAAAAAAGTACTAGAATATTCAGCTGATCCTCTTGAATTCCAGGAATAAAATGGCCTGAGCTTTGGGCATCTGACTGGAACTATGCTACACACTAGCTATACAAGTTATTTCACTTTAATTTTTGTAAAATTCTTTACCTGTCACAATTATTTTAAAGAAAACATCTTCCCCCTTTGGGACCCAGAGATTGAAGGCAAATGCTTAGTCTACACCCTATCACTTGTGGCTCAGAGGTAGAGCACTTGCCTAGCACGTATGAGGCACTGGGTTCCATCCTCAGCACCACATAAAAATAAATAAAGGTATTGTGTCAAACTACAACTAAAAAATATTTTTAAAATTTTTTTAGTTGTTCATGGACCTTTATTTATATGTGGTAATGAGAATTGAACCCAGTGCCTCACATGTGCTACGCAAGCGCTCTACCACTGAGCCCCAGCCCCAGCCTAAGAGAAGTTTTTTGAAAGGAAACAATATAAATGAAGACATGCCTCTAAAAATCACAAAACAGGAACTGAAAGTTTGGTGGTATCAAAGAAAGGGAAGTGTTGACTACTGACTCCTCTAATGATTCAGGTTGCCTAGTTACTATCTGATCAGTTTTTAAGGTGCTGTGCACACTGCATGCCTGTAATCCCAGCTGCTCAGGAGGCTGAGGCAGGAGGATCTGAGTTCAAAAGTCAGGCTCAGCAACTGTGAGGCACCCAGCAACTCTGAGACTACAAAATAGGGATGGAGATGCGGCTCAGTACCCCTCCCCCCCAGGGAAAAAAAAGTTCTGTAAGGTGTAAAACTTGTAAGACTTTTGCTACCGATATTCGTATAACAATGCAAGTGGGAGCAAGAGCACTGGGCAGAACTTGACCCAGGCCAAGATTTGGAGCCTCCTATCTGTCCTTAAGTGGGTACTTTTCTCCCATCACACCTCTATGCTTGGGAGGGTCATTTGTAGAAAGCAGCTTTATAATAGAAAATTATTGCCTTCTGGTAATGAAGCTCTAGAAGGGTGCTTTTGGATCAAAAGGGATGTTAAATACACAACTAAATAGGAAAATGAATCTTTGATTAGCATTTTGTGCTCAGGGCTGAAAATCAGCATGCAAACCTCTCATTTGCACATTTCCATGGTGATTCAGCTCCCTTTCAAGATAGTTGAAAATAAGGGCTTAAGGGCTTGCTCAAGTTTTTGAAATTGACTATCATCATCATCTCCTTTTTTGGGAGATGAAGGGGAAAAAGCACTTAACAGTACCAAGAACTTCCTCAAAACTTATTCTTCTAGTTTCATTTCAAAAAGTTAAGAGGGAACATGAAATAACAGCTTTTTATTTACTTATTTTAGATGTAGATGGACACAATAACTTTATTTTTAAAATATGGTTTCAGGGATCCAACCTAGTGCCTCTCACATGCTAGGCAAGCTCCCTACTACTTACTGAGCCACCACCCCCGCCCCGTGAAACAACAACTTTAAGCAAACCCTCACCTCAGAAATATACTTGGTGACTCAAAAATCTGGACAGGGATTTTGACTTTTGTATTAAATGTATTGTAACTGAAGTACTAGAATCACTCCAAAGTGCAGTAGTAATACATTTTATTAAAGAACCAACACCTTAACTCTCTCTCCCTCTGGAGGTAGCCAGCATTCAACATCCACATTCCTTGCTTTACTCCAAAAGACTCTTAAGATTGCCCCTATGCTCCATTGAATATGTATCTTTCTTTCCTAAATAAACCTGTGTTTGGAGAGGAAAAAAAAAAACAAAACACCCAACACCTAATTTAAATGAAACTCTTTGCTCTTAATTAACCTATGCATATTTGCTCAGCTGACTTCCCTAACAAGGCTTGCCTAAGAGGGGGAAGAAAAGTGTCAATAGAAAAGACCCGTATCACACCTTATATTTGGGAAAAAAAATGATTTTTTTTATTTTCTCAGGAAAAAAAAACAGAAGTTAGGGAAACACTACATTTTACAACCCACATTGATTTGTAGTTGGTCCCAATTCTTCCTGGAACAGCTGTCAAAAACACTAGCTGTTTAACCAGAACCAAAGTGTTCACCCCATAGAATGTACATGGACACCACTAGAGGACTGCATGTTTTTCCCTGAGAGAAGCAGAAAACAAACAGAAGTCGCTGAGAAAGCCATTTCAAGCAGCTCCTCCCTTTTCCATTCTGGAGGATTTGCCTGAACTATGCAGCTAGTCAGCACTTGGACCACGTGCCTCTTCTCCCTATAAACCAATTGTTCCCCCTCTTCCCAAACCATTTGGGCTCCCTAACCCCTCAGTGTTCTGGACCCCAAATACCAACTAACATCCAGTCTATGTACGTTTCAGAAGTCACGCCTAGTGAATTGGGAAGTGGTGCTTCTAAACACCAATTTATGTCTATGCCTTATTTCCACAACTGGATATGGGGAGACAGTCCTTTTAGTCACCTAAACCAGATCTTAAGATTAATTAAAAACTACATAAAGTGCTTTTAGGTCCTTAGAGACAGACATGATATAAATAATTGGCTTATGATCAAGAACGATAAATACATAGGTTAAAAATAGCTCTAGCAAGATGACCTTATGGCTCTGGAGATGGGCAGGCAAGGCAATTCTTCCCCATTACATTCTTAGTCATTTTATTCATACCTATTTTTATCTGGAGTCCACAGACTAAAGGTCATGTTTTGGAGCTGAAGCTTTCAAATGACTCTTGTTACAACAGCTTTCTTCAGTTTACCACTAGCTTTTATAAAGACTCTTTGAGGTTGTTTTAACACAGCTCACTTCTTTAGGTAAAATTCAAGTGAGCTTACTCATATACAAATGGGACCTCAGAAAGCCAATGTAAAATGATGTTCTCCTGAAAATTCTTAAAAGGACTTTTGAAACCTTTTCCCCCACAGAACAGGTTTAAAGCAACTGAAAAGTTATCAATCCAAGAAAAAGAGACTTCCTCCCAACACCATCGACTTCTTGTTCCAGCACCCATCACTACCTCTCAACAGGATAAAATCCATAAAAGATGAAGATCTGCTGACTCTTGGGGGAAGGGGGGGGGCATTAGGGAGGAAAGGGGTCACTCAGGTGCATAGTGCTGAAAATTAACAGGTCTAGTAAAATTCAGGGATGGCAGGGTAAAGATGTAGACATTGATATAAATATCTGAAGAGGGAGCAGAACAAGCAGCATATATTTCAACAAAGGAGAGGAAGTAAATGTGTTCAATACAACATCAGGTTTGAAATCAACAGAGATGACAATGGAAAAATTCAAAACAAAGCTTGGGAATCATTAATAGAAAAGAATCAGTATTTCTTTTATTGATGTATGAGGCTTAAACCTGTGTTTGAACAAGCAAGCCCCATAATAGCACCATAGTTAAGACTCTAGCCTGCTTTTCCAAGCCATCATTTTACAACTTATTAGGCAAACAAGGGATCAAATGTCTTTCATCCACCTGATGTTATCTTTTTATAAACAATGCTAACAAGTCCCACTTGGAACAGCTGAAAATCTTTCAGTAAAAGCTTTAAAGATGAGCTCATTCACTCAGTCTAAATTTTACCAGTTAAATTAGGTCAAATGTAAGGAACTCAAATGATTAGTTGCCTAATCAGAGCCCATTATTTCTAAGTCACTAGCCTACTCCCCCCACCCCTAAAAACAACCTCTCAAAACTCCACTTAGACTCAATTATTGAAAACCCATACATAACCAAATGAAAGGATTAATTTTCATTCCACAACTTCTTAATCCCAGGTTTTCAAATAAAAACCTATCTAAGGAATACTTACCAATACCAGATTGGAAAATTAAAGCCTGCATAGTTATAAATCAGATTTGTCCCACTACAACCAGGTTGCATACAATTACAAATTGGTTCTGTATATACTCTAGAACTGAACTGGAGAAAGTTTAGAATAGAAAAGCTGTAAGAAGAAATAGATTCCTAACTACAGAAATTACAATTTTCAAAATTTAAATTCAAGACTTTTCTCCCTTTATGTTCGCAGAAATATTTTCTCTGTAAAAATATACACATTTTTACAGACAAATACATTTACAAGCTGTTTCTGTCCTAAAAAAAAAATGAGAATATTCCACATTTGTAACTAAATGAACCTTAAGTCAAGTATTCATGGCCATTACTATGCTAATGAGACTCATTCAAATCAAGCCAAAGTAGAACAGGCATAAAAGTCCTGAACACTTGGATCTTCTATTCAAGAAAATATACCCGGGAAAGCTAATCACAGAGGAAAAGCTTCCCTTCACTGTTGCACAGTAATGAGGCTTCTAGTCATAGCTCAATTACTTGTAGCTTAAATTTTTCTTTATAGGATCACTGGCATCGCTAGTACTTTTCTTTTCACACTATGGGAAACTAATGAATTTGGCGGGCATATTTAATGAATTTTATGACTAGTCTGGCTACTGACCTCTCTTCTGGTTCTAGACAAGGAAATTAAGTTTTTCCACTAAATCTAACAGTCCTCCTCTGTGGCCTCCCAGTTTGCTTGGTGCTGAAAGTGAACTTTGCTTCTTTCATACAGTGAATTCTTCAAAGGGGACTACTTTTCCCATGTATTTATTCTTGTTAGACATAATCCTCTTGCCACTTGCTTTCTGGCTAGGTTGCTAGAGTGACACTCTTGGAGGTTACAGCCTGGGCAGCTTGAAGTCCAACTTCCATAAATACATTTGATTTCCCAGAAGTTTTGGTGGCTGGAGTTGGTTAACAGTCAACTATTGCACTTACAAGGCTATCTTATTAGATACGCCAAACCAGCTCCTACGCCAGCAACACCTGCAAAAGCCAGCAGCACATTTCTGATGCCGCCTTCTAGGTCCTCTACATGGAAGAACTCCACAAACCCATCCTAGAAAACAAAAAAGAAAAGACCATTTTCAAGTATGGGTTTCTGCCCTCTTAAAAACACCATATACACAGAAAAGATGAGTTTTAATGTCTAATAAGGCACCCCCACCAAAGCAGTGATGAACCAATTACTATTCATCTCTGGGCTGCAAAAGAGACATTTTGAGTCCTTCAGTAAATGGGCACCCATAACAGTTAAATGTCACTTTACTGTACTATTGGTCATATTATGACAACCTATAAAAAGACCACCCCACGCCAAAAATTACTACCTCAAACCCCCACCACATAAGTGCTTAAATGTGTAGATCGGTATTTCTCACTGTGGTTAAGTACCTTCTGCATCAGAACCATCTGGGTGGTATGCTGAAAACACAGGTCCCATCCAGTAAGGGGCCTCCTAGGAAGGTATCTTAATGACTATACCCAGGGGACTTTTATTTCTTCAGGGTTTGAGTCCACCGGTCTGACGATTATCCGACTGAATTACAATAACCTACAGAAAACCAGGACCTCCGATACAATTCAGGACGGCCACACACTCTCCCTACAAACCCCTACTTCACCAGCGCCCGGCAGGCAGGGGTCCAGCCCGCGCCCGGGAGCCCGGAGTTAGTCGCCGCCGCGGCAGGCCTGGCCCTCACTTACCCAGCCTCTTTGTTTGACCAGCCAGTCCCGTTTTGTCCTTACGAGCACGTCTGTGATACTTTCTGCTAAGGGTTCAATGCAGCTTTCTTGGTTTATGCTCTTCAAGTGTTTGGCCACAAAGGCACCAAAAGAAATGAGAGTCACAATCCTGCCCCAGTTTGTTACTCCGTCACTGAAAACATGGACCATCACGCGAGACAGAGACTTGACATCATCCTCGTTTTTGATGTCCAGCTTCCGAAGCATGCCTGGGGAGAAAAGCACGCACGTCCTCGTGGCCCCTTTGTCTCGGCCGGGCCGCGGTCGCCTGCCCACCCGCGGCGGGGAGGTCGCTCTACACTGACGCTACCGAGCTGGGGCGGCCCCACTCGACTGCCATCCCCCCTTCCGCGTCTCTGGACAGGACTGCACTTCCAAAAGCACCGGGCCCAGCCCGCCCGTCCGGCCGGCGGGCGGGCGCCGCCTTACCTTGGAAGGCCGTCTCGTGGTTGCGCTGCACTCCGTCGCCGACCCGCCGCAGGGTCTCCAGCGCCTTCCTGCTGGCGGCCCCCGACCCGTGCAGCGGCTTCGCGTCCTTGGCGCCGGTCGCCTGCTCGCGGAGGTACCGCGAGATGATCTCCAGCGACTGCCGGTACAGCTCGTCCTCCTCCTCCTCCGCGGGCGGCGGCGTCGAGGGCAGCGACCCGTCCGCGCCGGGGCTCTTGGCGGCCTCCCCAACCAGCTCCAGCAAGGGCAGGACCGCCGGCCGCTTCCCGAGGGGCTCGGGCTCGTAGCCGTCCAGCTCCTCTTCGGGCGACATGGCGGCGGCGGGGGCTTCCATCTTCTCAGGCGGCGACACGCAGTAGGAGGACGCGAGGAAGAGTCGCCTCGCCGGGGTCGCGGTGACGTCGGGGACCTCGGCGCCAATGGGCACCGGCCGCGCGACCCTTCGGGCGTCCTGCGCCTGGGCGGCTGGGGAGCTTCCGCCCGAGAGCGCGCCGGCTTCCCCTCCCCCTGCCTCTCGCCGGGCCGCGGCCTCCTTCTCGGCGGCCAAGAGCTGCGCTCCCGGCGGGGTGGCGCCGCCGCTGGCCCCCAGCCCGGCGCCCCCGCAGTAGAGGTTGAGTCCGATGACCGCGTTCCTCTTAAGGCCGAACATCGCACGCCGCCACCACAGTTTCCAGTCCGTGCGAGAAGACTACGGAGGCCTCGACTCCTCTCTCGAAGGAGGCGGAAGTAAGGAGTGGGAGAGGCGCTCCTAGATCACGGTTTTAGAGCCGGTCCTACGCGCTGGCGTCAGAAAAAACCGAAAAACCATAAAAGGGGAATAGGGGCGGAAGCTTCCGGAGAGTTGCGCATGGCTCTTACCGGCCCGGGCGGGGCCGGGGCGGCGACTTCCGTTCTCCAGGCCTCCGGCTGCCCGTTACGTAACGGCGGTTCCGCGCTCTCGGGCTCGAGCGCCTTGGCACCGCCTGGTGCGGTCTTGGACGTGATCAGGTGCCTCCTCCGTCCACGCGCCGACTCGCGAGCCCCCGTTTTTGTGTGCCAGAGGTTTTGTCTGTTTTTCCTCTCGGCTACTGGGGGTTCTACTCAGCGGCGCTCGGTTGAAGTTTTTGAGACAGGGTCTCCTAAAGTTCAGGAGACCAGGATATCTTGGAACTTGCCATCCTGTTTCAGCCTCCCAAGGCGCTGGGATCATAGGCGTGCGTCATCTTGCCCGGCTTGTGCCAGTTTTCTTTCTTTTTTTTTTTTAATATTTATTTTTAAGTTTTAGGTGGACACAGTATCTTCATTTTACATATATGTGGTGCCGAGGATCGAACCCAGTGCTTCGTGCATGCCAGGCAAGCACTCTACCACTGAGCCACAACCCCAGCCTTTTCTACATGTCGTAGATGGATACAGTACCTTTATTTTATTTATTTTTATGTGGTGCTGAGGATTTGAACCTAGGGCCTCATACATGCTAGGAGAGCGCTCTAGCGCTGAGCCACAAATAAGCCTCAATTTTTTTTTTTTTTTTTTTGTACCAGTGATTGAACCCAAGGGCGTTTAGCCACTGATACACATCCACAGCCCGTGTTTTGTTAATTTTTTTTTTTTTTTTTTTTTTTACTTATAAGTTTAGAGACCGGGTCCTACTAGGTTGCTTACAGCCTCACTAAGTTGCTGAGGCTGGCCTCGAACCTGTGATCCTTTTGCCTCAGCCCCCTGGGCCTGTTGAGACTACAGGCGAGTGCCACCTCGGAGGTTGAGGAAAAATGGGATGAGGAGCAAGTCTTATGTGGGTTAAATAAAAGGGCAGTGTTGGGAACCTGTAACCATTTTGCACATTCTCAGCTGCTCTCAGTCCAGCCATGTTTGGAAATGGGAATAGTCCATGGACTTCCATAAAGAACCTTTTACATATAAAGTGGACTATGCAGAAGTGATCCTCCACTTTTTTCCTGTCTCCCTACTTTCTCTTCCCTCATCTCTCTTCCACTCTCTACTGCTATTTACAAATAAGCCTTACTGAATCAGCACCTCTTCTGAGCGAGCTCTTTATTTTTTGTATTGGTAATAAGGCACGTTAACTTTAGGGAGAGAACAAGAATCTTATGTTATATGCCATGTATGTCAACTTCAATTGAAGGTTAAAAGATCTCTAAAAATAATAATAGCTAAAATTTGAGAATAAGGTACTTGAGGAACATAAGCAGGATAGGTTAAACAAGGTTCATAGTCATTGAAATATGGTTTAGCAGGGTGTGAGGAACAGGACTGTCATCCCAGCTGGTTTTTTCCTTTTAAAATTATTTTAATCTTTATGTGGTGCTGAGGATCAAACCCAGTGCCTCCCATATGCTAGGCAAGCGCACTGTCACTGAGCCACAGCCCGGGCCCCTTGCTGATCTTGAACTTGAAATCTTCCTGCCTCAGCCTCCAGAGTTGCTGGGATTATAGGCATGTGCCACCAAGCCCAACCCAAAATATTATTTTATCAGGTAGTGAAGTGCAAGGAAATAGCAAAAGCAATGGCTTTTCCTTTCTCAGAGGCTGTAAAAGAAATGCAAGTTTCACTTTATAAACCAAGAAATCACGAGTCCACCAATTCTACTGCAGTTCGTTAGTTTACTCTTCTATGTTCCTAAATGTCTCTTGGAATCTCCTATCAAACTGCCAATATTTCTTCCTCCCTTCTTCACAGAAAGCTGAAGCAATCAGAAGAGAAAACTTCATTTCCCTTCACTAAATCTACTAATTTACTGCTGTTGTTCCCATCCTGTCTGCCTTTCCTGTGGTTAAAATGAATAAACCTCTGCTAAGATCAGCCTCTTCATGTGTGTGTTGAATCCCATCTCCTTTGCCTACTGACGTACTCACAGTTATCCCTTTATATTCACACATCATCCATTTATTCCTGTTTATGGAAACATTTTCATCAGTATATAAACTTAATATTCTTTCTCACAAACTTAACCAAAATTCTTTAATACTGTTTTATTTTGTTACAGGATTTCATATTGTGCAGGCTTTTCTTGAATTCTTGACTCAAGTCTCCCTCCCACCTCAAACTTCTGAGTAGACTCTAGAGCTTATTCTACCACATCCAGCTTGAGCTTCCTTTTTTTTTTTTTTTTTTCTTTGTACTGGGAACTGAACTCAGGAGTGCTTAATGTGACATTATGATAAGATATTATCTGTATTACACTTAACCACTGAGCCACATCCCCAGCCCTTTTTTTATATTTTATTTAGAGACAGGGTCTCACTGAGTTGCAAGTGCCTCATTAAATTGCTGAGGCTGGCTTTGAACTCCTACTTCAGCCTCCCAAGCTGCTGGAATTTTAGGCATGCACCACCAGACCCAACTTTGATGCTTCCTTGTATAGCAAAAACTTCAACCTCCTAAACTCATTTTCTCTCTTGAGCCCAGTTCAGTTAACTTTTCATTCCTACCACTCCAAAGAAACCATTCTTGTAGATATTATCACTGGTCTCAGTGATCTTTTGCAACCTTCCTTTTACCTGACTTCAAGCAGTCTTTGATGTGACTGATTAGTGCATTTGGAACACTTTATTCATGTACCTTCTAGAGTACCATATACTCCTAGTTTTTCCTTCTTCCCCACTGTCTACTCTTTAGGTTTATTAATTTCTTGATGCTATCCACTTGATGAGAACACTCACCCTGCTTCCTTTTGTAACCCTACTTATGCCTGGCTCATGGCAGATGCTCCACTGTTGAATGGATAAATTGAAATGTTAATAACAAGGTATATGTAAAGGTTAGAAAAGTGGGATGGGGCCATATTACTGAAGGGTTTGAAAGTCAAAGAGGTATTTGGGCATAAGCAGAATAGGTAAACAAGGTTCATAGTCTTTAAAATATGGTTAAGCAGGGTGTGGTGGCACAGGACTGTAATCCCAGCTGGCCTGTAATCCCACTAGGATACCATGATGTTTGCTATGATTTAACTTCATTAATTGTATTAGAATAGATTAAGAGAGAAAGGATGGGGCTGGGGATGTGGCTCAAGCGGTAGCGCGCTCGCCTGGCATGCGTGCGGCCCGGGTTCGATCCTCAGCACCACATACAGACAAAGATGTTGTGTCCGCCGAGAAATTAAAAAATAAATAAATAAATATTAAAAAAATTCTCTCTCTCTCTCTCTCTCCCTCCCTCTCTCACTCTATCTTTAAAAAAAAAAAAAAAAGAGAGAGAGAGAAAGGATTAGAGGCAAAGAAATAAAGTAGGAGGCCACTGCAACATGACAGCCAAGAAATAATGATAAGCCAGGCATGGGCACATCCTGCAATTTCAGCAACTTGGGAGGCTGGGGCAGGAGGATCACAAGTGGGAGGCCAGCCTGGGCAACTTATTGAGACCCTGTCTCAAAATAAAAATACAAAGGGCTGAGGATATAGCTCAGTGGTACAGTGCCCTTGGCTCAATCCCAAGTACAGAAGAAAAAAAAATACTGAGTGATAGTAAAGTAGAATTAAAGAAGGTCAGTTTAAACTCTGTGGAGGCAGAGTCCATAGGACTTAATGACTAAGATGATGATAGAATGTGACATTATGATAAGATAGTTATCTGTATTACACAAGGTAAATGGGTGGCTACCTTGTAGATTCTTAGAGAATCATTACTCTCACCAGTAGGCGAAAGGGTTTGTGCAGCAGAGACAAGAACCAATATGATCTCTTGGAGGTCCTGTCCTCAGGGAATTTTTCCCCCCTTTGAGGGGGGACTCATTATGTTGCCCAGGCTGACTTCAACTGGGCTCAAGGGATATGTCTCGCTCAATCTCCTGAGTTGCACTTCAGGACTACCACTGTACCTATCTCCGCCTCTTGAGTAGCTGAGGTTATAAGCCTGTACCATTGCACCTGGCTTCTTTTTCTTTTTTAGGTCCCATATAAACTCATGCTTTGAGAGACTTTCTGTTAATGTAAATTTCCAGAACTACTGGAGTAACCTGTTCTCTTCCTCTAACCTAAGGCTAATAATCTTTTCCCCTTTAAGCTTAATGGCAAATTTATACCTTCCTTCTTTCCTCTCCTGTTCCCTTTGCCATAATCTTTCATATTGTTCCTTCTACCATCAGTTCGTCCCACCATAATCAATAATTTTTGTGTAATCATAATGATACCTAGTCTTCACAGGTATCACTGGCATATAATTAGAGTTTAGCAATCTCTCAGGTGTGACAAACATTGCTAGTTGACTTATCTGATATTCTCCCCTTCTTCCTTTCTGACATACCCCAGAGTTTTTTGTTTTTGTTTTTTTTAAGAATTACAACATGTTTAGCTTTCCAGAACATTGATAAAACTAATTGTGGTGAAGTAGCCTACTTATTTGGGAGAGAAGTATAATTATAAATGATCGTCATTCATTCAACACTCAAGTTATTAAGCTGGGGATACAAAAGTAAATAAGGCATGTCCCTTGTCTTTAGGTACATAATGAAGAATTATAAAATAGCTGGGGATGTAGTTCTGTGGTAGAGCACGTGCCTCGCATGCACCAGGTCCATCCCAGAAATTAAAAACAAAACTAGGGCCAGGATATAGCTCAGTTGGTAGAGTGCTTGCCTCACATGCACAAGACCCTGGGTTCAAATCCCAGCACCACAAAAAGCAGACAAACCAAAAAACCACTTCACTGGGTAGTGGGGAATGGTAACATACTCCTGTAATCCCAACTGCTTGGGGGCTGAGGCAGGAGAATCACAAGTTCAGAGTCAGCCTCAGAAACTTTATGAGGCCCTGAGCAAGTTAGTGAGACCCTGTCTCGAATATAAATTAACAAGGGCTGGGGATGTGGCTCAGTGATTGAGCACCCCTGGGTTCAATCCCTGGTACTGAAAGAAAACTAGCAGGGCATGTTTTCCATGTAATCCCTGTTTATAATCTGAGCAATTGGAGAGACTGAGGCAGGAGAATCGCAAATTCAAGATCAGCCTTGTCAATTTAGTGAGGCCCTAAGCAAATTAGAAAGACCCTGTCTCAAAAAAAAAAAAAAAAAAGCTGAGATTGTGGGTGGGCTGGGGATGTAGCTCAGTGGGTTCAATCTCTGGAAGTCCTCACCCCCACCCCCACCCTGCCCCACTGCCCCCTGCGGGGCGGAGGGGGGAATTTCAGGAGAAGGGGTAGGGGCTGGGCTCAGTGGTTAAGTGCCCCTGGATTCAATCCCCAGTACCAAAAGCAAAACAAACAAACAAACAAACCTGAATCATTATAAATCAACATGGCATTCAGTAAAATTCAAACAAG